ACTGGTGTCCGACAGGGCTGCCCACTGGCCCCCTTGCTTTTCGTCTGCGTCATCGAGATCTTCCACCGCTACATGTCCCTCTCCCTTCCCGGTTTCGCCTTGTCCTCCACTCAGCGCCGCCTCATGGCGTGCTACGCGGACGATGTCACCCTTTTTCTTACCTCGGATGCAGAGCTCGGACAAGTTGTACTGATGCTCGGCGTTTTTGGATCGGTCTCTGGTGAGGTCCCCAACTGGAACAAGTGCTCCATACTTCCATTCAATATTCCCCCTGCTGACCTTGCTCATGCCGGGATTATACCCATCCGAGCCCCCAATGAGGCAGAACGCATCCTCGGAATCTACGTCGAGCGGTTACACCCTGGCTCCACCACCTGGAACAAGGCTCTCACGCGCATACAAACCACCGCCAAATTCTTGGCAGCCCTACACGCCACTGCCACGTGCCGCAAATACCTTTCCTCGATCTTTCTCAACACAGTCCTTTCTTTTCCTGGACGCTTTCAACCCGTCCCACCAGACATAATCATACGCCTTGATATGTCTGTTGGGAACTTTCTCTCGTCATCGAAACATAAACAAGACGGCCTCGCTCAACGCCTCATTTCCAAAGGTCTCCTGTACAACTCCCCCCAAGACGGCGGGATCGGTGCGATCGCACCATCTATACAAGTCAAAGCTCTTGCTATTCAGCGCGCCCTGCGCAGTTTTGGACCAACCCCCTCCGAGGAAGTAGCACGTACCTTGACCCCGTTCCCCTTCGGACTGCACGGTCTACTCTCCCACAAAGCCATCCTCGAACGAGATTATCTCCCCACCTTCATCCCCCCTCGGGCGCTGGACGAATTAAAAGCCCTCCTCTCCCTTCCGCTAGTCATTCATGGCCCCCCCTTACGCATGCATTATATCCTCACCGAACCAATCGCCTTCAACCGGTCAATCCTCAAACCTGACAATCGGCCTTTTGGCACCCGCCAACACGAACGCTTCCTCTTTACAGGGCAATTCCGCATCGGACACATTGTCCGAATCCACAACTTGCATGTCAGTCCTATCTCTGCCGAAGAATTTTGCTCCCAACTCCCGGAGGAATTCCACGCAGACGCAAAACGCATCCTCCCAGAGCTTATCAAGGCTATTAAACCACCTTGGTGGGCCGCCCTTCGAACCCCATACGCTTCTTCTGCATCCCCAGGAGATTGGTTCACGCTCTCGGAAGACATCTACACCGCATCTCCTCTCGCTCTCCAAGTTGTATCCTTCACCCCCCCCTCCTCCGTCTCGGCTACTATCCACCATGTCTCGCCAAATAAACTCATCGCCCGTGCCCCTGCAGCCACTGGACTCTTTCGCCTACAGGATCTCGTGGAGGTGTACGTCAGGGAACGGTGGCTCGCAGGGCCGCTGGCTAGGTTAGGGGCTAGGTTAGGACTACTGCAGGATGGCACCCCCAGCATCGCCGACATCCGCCGCCTCCTCTACTCAGCACAACCACTAACTCACCACCTCCGATGGACCCGCGACCTCACCGTCCCTCCTCCTCCTCTCCCTGACCTTACACATTCGTTTCTCAGGGATCAGCCGAGCCGCCAGCGGGACATCCTTTTCAAATTCTACACACTCACCCTTCCCTCAGGGTCTCGCTTCCAATACTTTGATGACAGGGGGATCTGCCCTCGCTGCCCAGCCGCGGTCGTCGAGACAATACCGCACATTTTCTTCGAATGCTCCTCCGCCCGCAACGTCAGCTCGGCCCTTCGCACAGTCGCTGACCGCCACCTTGGACAAACAACCACCGCCGAGCACATCTTCTTCCCAATACAGTCACGGGTAGGACAGTCCCCATCTTGGAGCCTACTAGTGGGAGCAGCGGTTAAGACACTGTGGCAGGCACGCTGCACCCACAGGAACCACAACTCCTCCTCCTCGAAATTTGAGATCCTGCAGCCGATTCTTGCCCAGTTCCTTATCGCCTTCAAGCTTCTGATATGGAGAAGCCGACGCCAATCTCCCAAAAAGCGACAACGCACATCCTCCAGCATCAAGCGAGCACAGGATCTCCGCTTCCTCCTCTTTGACCGACACGGTATACCATCCATTCACCCCAACCTCAGATTCTCATGGCTCTTGGGGAACCCTTTTCGACCCTCGTAGACAGCCTCTACATAGAGCGTCTCCCCAGGTCGCTGGCGGTTATCCTCCGGACAAGGAAATAACGTGTGATCCACGTGCTCCTTATGGGATGCTAGCCACTCTGGCCATATTTTTAGACAGCTCTATGCTATATGACTTGTACATTGATTACGATCAATAAAATAACCTTAAGCGTTAGGGATGCACCAACCCTAAACACCTAGAGGCAAGGTGTTTAGGGTTGATGCCTCCCTAACGCATGCCAGGCCCAAATGGGTTTTTTTTTGCCCCCGGGCAGCGCAGTACAGAACTGAACTAATTTTCTTTTGAGGTTTGTGATAACAATAAAACAGATCGCGGCTCACGCGATCGAAGGCATGCAACGTGGCGATAATAAAACAAACCGCGACTCCGTGAGATTGAGCAAAACTCTCCACTTTACTGTACTCCTCAGGTGGCGATTCGGTTTTGTCAGTTACCCAGCCCATCGAAACTGTTCCACAGGTTGGAAATACAGATGGGCTACAAATATTGCAAGACGTTGAAGATGGATATGATATGGTGCAATGTGGTGGAGAAATTGTATTCTCAAGCCACCGAACGCACAACACCACCCTTCCTCCTCGTTGCACGGGGTGCATCGTACGGTTCTTCGATCGAAGAGCGGGTAAGTAGCTTTGGCAGGGGTACTACTAGCGACCCTGCGCTTTGAAGAGGACTACATTGCCAGTAGCGGGCACTTTCCACCCCTCCGCGCCTCAGACAGGGAAGTTATAGAAACAAGACAGTAATCTTCCCCACATTCACCCACGTGTCACCAATTCGCATGCCACGTACTGTACTGGACATTCTGACCAAGTGTGCGCAACAGACTTTTGTCCCTTCTGCCAAATCTAAACCAATCTGACCGCGGGCAAAACAATATAAACCCCAATCGGACTGCATGCCATTCGGGAGCCTCAACCCTAAAATTTTGGGGTTGATGCCTCCCGAATTGCACGCCTTCCATGTGGGGTTTATTTTTTACTTGCCCGCTGACTCATTGCACTGCCTGCTGACGCAGGCCTGTGTTCCGAAATTTTGGGCGCGAAACAGTAGCCTATCAGATTTCGGAACAGTGTGTCAGCCGAGCCACCCAGAGTTTGGATTCGATTTGGAAATTGTTGACACGTGGGTGAATGTGGGAAGATTACTGTCTTGTTTCTATAACTTCCCTGTCTGAGGCGCGGAGGGGTGGAAAGTGCCCGCTACTGGGCATGTAGTCTCCTTCAAAGCGCAGGGTCGCTAGTAGTACCCCTGCCAAAGCTACTTACCCTCGAAGAGCGGACGCAACAGAGAACATGTAGTTAGGTTGTACGTTTCGCATAGCGCCCCATATCTGCCTACCAGTAGCGTCACACGCCGATACGGGTCGTGGCACCGCGCGTTACGCGGCGTCGCTTGCTGTTGGTAAATTCCAGAAACTCCGCGCACGCAACGCTCGTTAATAGTTACTCCGTCCGCGTCGCACCAATACCACTGTCAGCCATCAGCCACACCCTGAATGGACCCGCGTCGGTCATTAGTAACTCTAGTAGTAGCTTGACTAGTAGAATACTCTTTGAGTCGTAGAGGAGATTTCTATTAAGGCCGAGTAGCCTCTCCTATTTAAAGACATCATAATATTACGAGACCGTTCGCAGCACGTACTCTCCGCAGCGCGTTTTCGTTGACGCCAGCTCGCATTCGCCTGCCTTTGCAGGCGGTCGTTCGCGAAATTTTTTCTAAACATCCCGCCCGTGCAGACGGCCGGCGCACCGCGGCAACTAATGAGTGCTGATGTCAGCTCGCTGCCCTCGCCGCGGCACGCGCCGCACGGTGCGGCGCTTATGTCTGCCATCCCGGCCGTCCAGGCCGTTTCTTCAATCCTCTCCATCCTTCCTGCGCGTGGCGCTACTGGCGTTCGCGCTCTTCCAGCGTGTCGCGGCGCCTGCGACGCGTTCCGACTCCGCGGCGCCTCCGAGCAGTCGAGATAACACTACGGAGTTGCGTCGACTATTATGGCACTTCGAAAGCAGTCGAGGTAGTGCCACGGGTTTACATTGCAGATGCAGTGAAAAACAGTACTGGTAGTTGCTAGCAGTTGCTAGTAGTTGCTACTATCATAGTAGCAACTACTAGCAATGGTCCCGTGCCACACTCTTCCTCGCCTCCCCCATCTCTCGTCCATCCCCAACCCTGTCTCTCCCCCCGTCTCTCTCCCCGCCCCATCTCCTTCCGCAGACCCCTGCCGTGTGCGCGCCTGCCCTGTAAACCGCGTGTGCGAGGTGCGCAAGCACAGGCCTCACTGCGCCTGCAACCCGCCGTTCGTCACTGACGGCCGTCAGTGCAGAGGTAACGGGCATCACTGCAGAGGTAACGGCCGTCAGTGCAGAGGTAACGGCCGTCAGTGCAGAGGTAACGGCCAAAAGTGCACTACATATGTTGTTTTTTTTAATCCTGTTTTTGTTAATTCTTTGCTTGCGATTTCTTTTTTGAAACAGGCGAAATCAGTCCATTTAGCTGCAATCAAACAAACAAACTCTCTCACATCCGTGGGGTGGGATTGAGATTATTCCACTCCTGGTTCCTCCTCTCATCTCTCCTCTTTCCTCCCGTTCCCCCCCTCAAACCCCTCCTGCCCCCCTTCCCTCCTCCCCCCTGCTTTTCTCCCTTACTTCTCGTGAGCAGTCCCCTGCGCATTAACGTTGTGCCCGCCTAACACTCATTGCTCGTTACAGTCCCCTTTTCGACACAACTCCTCGGCTGCGTGCATCCTTACCAAGACAAATATATTAAACCGATCGAACCTACCCAACGCACCAATTCTACAAGCTTCACCGAACCTAATGAGGTGGCCCGTACCCGTGCCCCACCCTCTATCACACTTCTCCTCCTCCTCCTCCTCCTCCTCCTCCTCCTCCTCCTCCTCCTCCTCCTCCTCCTCCTCCTCCTCCTCCTCCTCCTCCTCCTCCTCTACCCCCCATTTACCCCAACGCCCCCAACCTCCCCAGATCAGCGGCTCTTCCCCCAACCTTCTGCGCCTGCCCTCTTCCCCCTCCCCCTCAAACCACCAGCAGTTGGCGGAAGGGGGAGGGGGGAAGGCGGGGGGCGGGGCGGTGGGGGAAAGTACAAGGAAATTGGGGGAAAGGAGTAAACTGGGGGTTAGTGGGAAAAAGGGAGGAAAGGCGGGAGGCAAAGCGGGAGGAAAAGGGGGCGGGAATGGGGGAGGGAAAGGGGGAGGAAAAGGGGGAGGGAAAGGGGGAGGGAAAGGGGGAGGGAATGGGGGAAATGATGGGGGGTATGATGACGGGTATGGGGATGACAACGGGGGGTGGGAGGCAACACCTATTGATGATGGGAGCTGGGATAGCGGCGGAAGTGGAAGCGGAAAAGGCAAAGGTGGTGGGAGCACAAGGCCTAAGCAGCCACCTAGACGGGGTAAGATGGTGATGATGATTCGGGTGATACATCACATCATGTGTGCATTCCGTGCGTGTATTTCTTCGGAGTAACTGCCAACGATTTTTGCAAGTCCCATTGCTTTCCTGCTCCTCCCTCACCTCACCTTGACTGCATTTCTCTTCCTTTGTTCTCCCATATTCATTCCCCATTCCCTCCAACTTCCCATTCCCCTTCCAATCCAGGCACCTCCCCTCCCCCCTCTTCCCGCCGCCCGCCTCCCTCCCGCAAGCCTTCCCCCTCCCCCAGACGTTCCCCCTCCCCCAAGCTTTCCCCCTCCCCCAAACGTCCACTCCCCCCAAAACTTCCACCCTCCCCCAAACGCCCGCCACCCTCCCCTCGCCGCCCACCCTCCCGCGCCCCTCCGTCCTCCCGCATACGGCCTCCCTCCCCCAAACCTCCGCCCTCCCCCAAACGCACCCCCTCCCCCAAACGCACCCCCTCCCCCAAACGCACCCCCTCCCCCAAACGCACCCCCTCCCCCAAACCTCCCCCTTCCCCCAAACGCACCCCTGCCCCCCGCCGCCCACCCTCCCGATCGCGCCCTCCGTCCCATAGCCATCCCCCTATACCCAGCCGGCCTCCGTCCCAGCACGTGTGTTCGCGCATGCAGTGTGCGGGAAAGGCCAAGTGCCGCGCGTTGGGAGGCACGGCCAAGTGCGTGTGTGAGCGGCCGTTCCTCACAGCCAACCGCACGTGCGTGGGTGAGTGGAGCAGGAGAGCACGTGCGTGGGTGAGTGAGGCTTATTCTCAAGTCGACTCAGAATGCGCGCATGCAGTGTGAGGGAAAGGCCTTGCGCTGTGTTGCCTATGGGAGGCACGGCCAAGTGCGTGTGTGAGCGGCCGTTCCTCACAGCCAACCGCACGTGTGTGGGTGAGTCGAGTCGAGCCGGAATGCATGTTTGTGTGAAGCAGGAGAACACACACGTGTGTGTGTGTGTGTGTGTGTGTGTGTGTGTGTGTGTGTGTGTGTGTGTGTGTGTGTGTGTGTGTGTGTGTGTGTGTGGGTGCGTGCGTGCGTGCGTGTGTGCACGCATGCAGTGTGGCTGGAAGGCCGTGTGTTGTGTTGCCTGTCAATAAGCACGGCCAAGTGCGTTTCCCACGGCCAACCAAGGTGACTTTTGAGTCGACTCAAAAGTCACGTGCGTGGGTGAGGCCTGGCCGGAGACGCCTCTTATCATTGTCTAATCGTCATCTGACTTATGTCAAACCTGTGGTAAAATCATTGCGGCTCGAAACCTTTTTCCACTCTGTAAGATCAAAGCATTGCTTCTTGAGACAGGCAGGCAGGCGAGTCTGATACCTGCCAGTAGCAGACCCAATCCACTCGGCTGGCCAGCCCTTCTTGCCTCTCAACCGCACCAGACCCCTGCGAAGCGACCACTTGTCTGGTCTGGGCTGACCTGGCTATCGTGGTAGGAACTGGGCCAGTGGCAGCTGGGCCATGCTGCGAACCTGACGGTGGCCAGGTGTGCGGCCCCACACCAACCCTTCTTTGAGTCGACTCAAAACTCAGCTCGCCCGACGGTGACCACCTTCCTGCCTGACCGTGTCCAGCCGGCCCCATAGCAACCCTTTCTTTCCCCTCTCTCCCTCCTCTTCTCCCTCCCCAGACCCCTGCACAGTGACCAGGTGTCCGGTGTATAGCGATTGCCGGGCGGTGGGGTGGGGAGGAGGTGTGTGCGCTCTGTGTGTGTTCTTGCTGGGCCCTATGATCTATCAGACCTTCGGTTCCTTTCCTGCCTCTCCCTCCCTCCCCAGACCCCTGCACAGTGACCAGGTGTCCAGAATATAGCGACTGCCGGGTGGTGGGGAGGAGTGTGCGCTGTGTGTGTTGGGCAGGGTTCTACCAAAAGAAGAGGGCGTGCATAGGTAGGACCTTTGATGCCATCGCGTGCCACGTCATGCCATGTCATGCCGTGCCCGTGCCCATGCCCATGCCTTGCCCATGCCATGCCATGCCATGCCATTCCCTCTCATGTCGTGGCGTCCGATTCTAGAATGTTGCGTCGCCACTGCAATCCACCCCTCTCTTCTCAAACTCATCTCACTCTCCACTCTCCCCCCTCCCATTTCCTCTCCCTTCTCCGCTCAGTCCTCTCTCCCCATCCTCCCCATCCCCCCCCTCTCCCATATCTTTCTTCTCCCACCATGGAGACCGTTGCAAACAAGACCCAGCCAGCACTGTGTGGTCCATCACATGTGCCTCTAGACTCGACTGAATCCCCCGCGCCTTCCTCCCGTCTCCTCTTCCTCCACTCCACCCCGCACGCAGACCGCTGTCTGTCAGCTGTGCCCATCCGACACAGTGTGCATTCACCTGACACCCCGGGCATTCACATGTGTTTTTTAGAGTCAGCTATAACACAAATCCCTCTCCCCTCACCCCTCTCCTCTTTTCCCCTCTGGACTTTCGTGCAGACCACTGTCTGTCAGCTGTGCCCATCCAACACACTGTGCATTCACCTGACACCCCGGGCCTTCACATGTGTATCAGCCAAAACACAACGTTCTCTCCTCTCCCATCTTGCTCCTCTCCCCAATCCTCCATACAGACCGCTGTCAGCTGTGCCCATCCAACACAGTGTGCATTCACCTGACACCCCGGGCCTTCACGTGTGCCCGCCCTGTTGCACGCCGACGCGCACCAGAGGATCCAAGTGAGTTGTATGCGCTCTTGCATGTCTGCATGTGTGTAATTGCTTTCCTGCATGCAGACGTATACTAGAGTTACAATCAAGACCATGTGTGCACACACACTGGCATATAGCTGTGTGCAACTGTGTGTAGGTGTGTGTTACTGTGCATAGCCGTGTGTTGCTGTGCATAGCTGTGTGTTACTGTGCATAGCTGTGTGTTTCTGTGTGCAATCTCCCAACCGTCACCAATTGCAACCCTGCACTCTCCGCCCGCACCACCCCCCAGCAGCATCATGCGAAGCGGTGCAGTGCGGTGCCAATGCTGCATGTGTGGTCCTGCAAGGTCATGCGCAGTGCTCCTGCATACACCCCTACGAACCACAGGGCGATGCATGTGTTGGTGAGTGTGGTAGGGTGCGGCATAGCATAGCACTAGTAGTTAGACTAAGACTCCCACTCAAAAGCGTGTGGCTGTGTGTCCTGCATACACCCCTACGAACCACAGGGCGATGCATGTGCTGGTGAGTAGCGCAGGGTACATTCTAGCATAGCACTAGTACCTAAGACTTTTGAGTCCACTCAAAAGCGTGTGGCTGTGTGTCCTGCATACACCCCTACGAACCACAGGGCGATGCATGTGTGGGTGAGTGGGGCAGGGTGCGGCATAAAATAGCAGTAGTAGTTTGTCTTTTGAGTGGGCTCAAGAGTGTGGCTAGATGCACCGTGCATGCGCTATCTCACCCCTGCCGTCCATGCTCCATGTGTGTATGTGTATGTGCGTGTGCGTGTGCGTGCATTTTGTGTGAAGGAGAGGAGAGGAGTGAGTTTGCGGGGGTGTGAGTGTGAAGAGGGCGAGAGGCAGAGGAATAAGGAAGTGAGGAGGGGGTTAGTCACGCATCCTCACGTGTTCTGGGTCGACTCAAAACACGACTCATCCTCACTATGCGTCTCATTGACGTAAGGGAAAACTGTACGAGGGGCGGACGAGTTCTGGCCTTGGTTTAGGGTAAGACGGGCGTGCCTCGCAATTTGTATAGCCCCGCAAAGCCCTTGATTTGAACCTCCTCCTCGTCATGCATGCTTCTTCCTTGCATTGCATCGACTTTCTTTCTGTCTGCTGCAGATGTGCGCTGATGAGCGTGAATACCGACACACATACGGTATCTGACACGAGATAACTACTGGTACCACCAGCTATGTACCAACCCAACATTGCCTAACCGCTCTGATAAAGGTACCCACCACTTGTGTATATAATGCTAGGCACGTGATGTATTGTAGCTGGTAACGCATTTGGAAATATGAAGGGCTTTTCCTGATCCTAACACATTGTTATGCCAGCTTTTACTGGTACTCTGTCCATATTCAGTACGTAACCAAGTGTAGTTTTTTATAGCTACCACCTGTAGGCAAAATACCGTAGGTCCATTCCATACACTGATCTGTAATCATCTACTAGTTGATGGTTTTGTGGAGCTTCTGGTACCGTATGCCAATGACTCAAACCACTGGAAGAGTTGGTTTTTGTCAAGAGTACGGTAGATTAGGAGCCTTGGGTTTAGGGAAGAGGAAGTTGGCCAACAAAGAAGGGGGTTCACTATAGAGAGATACAAGATATAGGGCAAGGGAAGGTGGCTAAGGGGGTATACCACCAACAATAGAAGAGATACTACACTAGCTAGTCTAATATTCAGTTATATGTAGACATACAATTTCTGACAGTTTTCAATTCAAGCAAGATCTCCAGCCTGGTCAGTGGCACTGGGCTGATGAGTGATTGTATGGTACTCGACCAGTTTGACTGAACAAATCTACAGATCAGAGCATACCATACCGCAGCTAGCTCACTTGAAGGGATGGAGTAGAGCAAAGAGTGCAAACATCTGTACGGTTCTTCCCAAGAAGCAGTTACCGTACCAGTTACTGTAAGGCATGGCAAGTTGGCAACCTAGTGCTAAGAAAACGACTAGGTACCTACCTACCTACCTAATTCATTCTAATAGCCGCACCTAGCACGGTCCTGCACGGTGCGCACAAACGGGTTATCGCAGCCTAGACCCACTCCGTACCCAGACAGAACCCCCAGCATCTCCTGCAACTCGTCTTCGGGCATATCAGGCGACCTAGAGATCATAAACACGTCCACGCGCGGGGTAGGATCCAATCCCTGGGGTTCCATGCACGAGAACACCAGCGCGGAGGAATAACCTTCCGCCTCGCTCCCATCCAGCGCGAGTATCCAGTAGTTGGGCTCGGTAGAGGTACTAGGGAAAAGATCGAAGGTGACTGTGAGCTTAGCGGGGTCGCTAGTACTGGGGACAGCCTGGCCAAACACCGAGGTTGGGATCCCGCCGAAGGGAAGAGGAACGCTGGCGACGGAAGCCAAGGAAATAGAGAGAATGTCAGATCCAGCGAAAGGAGCCACTGCTGCTCCCACCCGGTTCAACGCATCCCGAAGAGCATTCGCAGATACGAGGATACTCGCTGCTGCTGTTGACACAGAGCTGTCACAGTTTGCGCTAGTAGCATTCTGAATAGTTGCTGCAGCGGATGCTATCTGGCTGGCCTTATCCGCGGATGCGGATGCATACAGGAGCAGCTGGTTGGAGAGGAGGTTGAGAGACGCGTTGTGGAAGTCGAGTTGGGAGATGCGCGCTGCGAGGGTAGCCATGGCGGCGATGGACGCGGAGATGCTGCGCGCTGACGCCTCGATATTGAGAAACTCGTTTGTGATGTTGGCCTGTGGGTGGGGGAACAGGAGGATGGATACCGGCCGAAAGGAGAAGATGACAAACGGACGGCAATACATCAGCAGGAGACAACAAACCACCATCAGCAGCAGAAGCAGCACCCCCGCAGTTTGCGTACCTGTGAGCAGGCAGCAGCAGCTTGTGGCTGTGACTGGAGCAGCTCCAGAGCAGAGGCCGCAGCAGAGGACACGTTCGCCAGGGCACTGTGCATAGAATGGTAGGGGGAAGATGAGGAAGGAAATGGCGCAGGGCGAGGAGAGAAACAAGAGAGACAGATTCAATGGCAGGGAAAGGCGAAGCAAGCACATTCCAAAACGGGAATCTAGATGGTCACCCACGGCTATTGCTGACTGAATAAGCCTCCCCTCATCCCCCCAACTTCGAATCCCCTCTCTCTTTGCTGTCAGAATACTGAAGCGGTACCTGCAGTTTTCTGAGAGAGGCTTGAGGGAGAGAGGTGTAGTATCATGTACGTACGGGATACTACACCTCTCTCCTTCAAGGCCCTGCCATAAAACTGCAGGACCGCTTCGATTTCCTAACACATCCCCTCCCCACTTCTTCCATCCCTCCCACACCCTCCCTTTTCGCTTCCACTCACATGCACGCGTCTCGGCTATTCCCAGCGACACTGCCCATGCTCTGCAACACAGCGGGCGACGCTACCAGTCGCCCCGAATTCTCCACCCTGATACTGACGCCGCTCGTCCCCGCGTCGGCGCCACCCGCGCTCCCCCCGCTCCCCGCGCTGAACGTGTAGCGCACCTGGTTGCACACGAGGCCGTTTTCCCGCTGCAGCTTGAAGCGCGCGCTCGTGCCGATCTCGAACCACCGCCCCGCGTACGCGGAGAGGTTCACTTGCGCCACCGTCGGCGGGCGCGGACACGAGGGCTGCGCGCGCGCGGAAGGTATGGACGAGAGCGCGGCGGAGGCGGAAAGCAGAACGACCAGGAAACGTACGAAAGCCATCGTGGCCGACGATACTGGGCTTTTGAGAGCTAACTCGTGATGACGTTTGATGGACTAATTATTTTGGCGCCTAAAATTTGGGCTAATCCTGCAAATTCCAGAGAAAATTAGAAACGGGCTCGATCTCGCTGATTGCGTGAATTGAATGGTTGGCAGTCGCGTATAAATAGGCTGGCGAGGGCGTCGCGAGCGCGCGGCAGCCGCGGCGCACAACTGCCGGGCAACCCGACCTCCCATGGGGAAAAACGAACCGAGAGCTCTGGAAAAGGCTGGGCGATGAAGCAAGAGTGAGCGGCTGATGCGGTGGGCGAGCGGAACGCAGAAGACGGCCGTAGGAAGAGCCGTGGGCCGTGTGACTGATGACCTGTGACTGGTAGGCCATGGGATCTGACTGGTTACGGGAGCAGCATTCGAGTGTGACGGTGCATGTCATTCATCCTGGCTGCCCGTCGAAAGGAACTCGAGATGAGATGAGAGCGAGAGCAGACGTGACGTTGACATGCGAGGAGAGGATGACGGATTACCGTGTTGCGGAGGAATCTAGGGAGGTTCGACAGTAGTGCTTTGATTTAGTAAACAAAGTGTACTGCACGAAATGGTGGGTTAGGGTTACATGAAGTCGTGCAGGCTTCGCGCTCGCGCCCTTGTGGTGCAGGAACAAGAGCGTGGTGTGTTCCAGTTGTGCCGAAGAGCTACAATGCCCCATTTGTAGCTGCTTCAAGAGTGCTCTATAAGGATATCCACGTTGAAGTCAGATACCATGGATAAGTAGGGTTAGGGCAGGAAGAGTACCTCAGGAGCATGATTCTGTCAACATAGATGTGCGTGAGGCACTTGTATGTACTTCTTTCAGCTGGTTTAACTGTTTTATTGACAATAATATCGCTTGTTCCGATATTTGTATCTCAATTATTCACAAAAATGTTACTGATACTTCTGATAGTGTTCTCTTGAGAGTGCAGCAGTTTGTATCACACGTTCGAATAGCGTCAAGAGGAAGTCACTGCTGATGTCCCATAGCTATTAGGACATTCAGCCTCATGAACACACTGTTGTCTAGTAGGAGCTCCGATAGTATACCCGTGCCGACCGAGCCTTCTCACGCCAAAGGTACTGACGGCCGTAAATGCGACTCGTCGTCACTGCCGTCAACGTGTCAACGTCCGCAAGTTGAAAAGCCTATGTCAGAAAGCCTGACACATTCCAGAAACACGCCCTAACACGCTCGAGTACCAATGGACGGCGGTGAACACGACATCCCCGAGTACTGTAGCACTCGAGAGTTCGCACTCGCTAGAAACAGCCTCGGTATCAGCGCAACGGATCACCCCACTGCGACTGACTCTCTCGAGCCCTTTCCTCGAAATTTCCCAGCACACAAGCGTATTATCGGAACGCGCTTTATCGTGGACGGTTTCCGCCACGCGGGGCCGTGGTCGCGATGCTATTTGCTCACGCACTTCCACGCGGACCACTACTGCGGCCTTTCCCCCTCTTGGCGCGCGGGGGTGATTTTCTGCTCCCCCGTCACTGCGCGTCTCCTCTCCGAGGTGCTCGGGATTCCCCCCGCGTGGGTGCGCGCGCTCCCCTTGCGCGCGCCCGTGGCGGTGGATGGCGCGCGCGTGGTGCTGCGGGACGCGCACCACTGCCCGGGGGCTGTCATGCTGCTGTTCCGCATTCCGCCTGCAGGGGGGGACGTGGGGGGAAGCACGGCGGAGGAGCGGGGGAGGCAGGGGGGGAGAGGGCAGGGGAAGTTTCTGGCGGAAGGCAGGCGAAAGTCCAAAGATAGCGCAAAAGGGGAGATGGGGGGAGGAGAGAGGATGGAAGGGGATCCGCGAGGGGGAAAGGGGGAAGGGGAGGGGGGATCAGAGGAGCAGGGGGAGCGGGGGGAAGTGAAGTGGCGGAGAGTGGTGCACACAGGGGATTTCCGGCTGAGCCCATGCATGCTTGGGGACCCTGTGATGCAGGCGATGGTGGGTGCAGATGCAGTGTATCTGGACACCACGTACTGCCACCCGCGCCACGTGTTCCCCCCCCAGAGCGACGCCGTGCAGTATGTGGCGCAGATGGTGCGGAGAGTGCTGGGGGAAGGGGGGGAGAGGGGGAGAGGGAGTGAGGTAAGAGGGAGAGAGGATGGAGGAGGAGGTGAGGGCCTGGGAGGTGGCTTGGATGGGGGAGAGGAGGAAGGGGAGGAGGTGGGGGTTGGGGTGGAAGGAGGGGACGGGATGGAGGGAGGGGGCGGCGAAGGAGATAGGGGTGGAAAGAAACATGGGGAGAACGAGGCAGAGGGAGAGGCAGAGGGCGTCAGGCAAAGGGGATGTGGCGAGGTGAGTGGGATCTCAAGAGCAGCAGAGGCAGCAGATGCAGCAGACACAGTAGAGGGTTGTACAGGGAAAGCAGCAGGCACAGAGCAGGGTGTCGATTCCATGGATGTTGCACAAGGGAGAGGAGTCAGAGCGGCAACAGCAGCAGCGGCATCAGTGGCGGCGGCATCAGCAGAGGAGCAGCAGCGCAAGCCACACAGCAACGACCGAGTGCTAATCCTCGTATCCACCTACGTGATAGGCAAAGAGAAACTCCTCCTCTCCACAGCCTCCCACTGCCACACCCGCATTGTCGTTGACCCAGCCAAGCTCAACACTCTCCGCTCCCTCGACCTAACCCCAGCAGAACTCGCAGTGTTCACCACGGATCCTGCGGCCAGTCCCGTGCATGTGGTGCGCTGGGGGGTTCTGGGGGACGTGTGGCCGTTCTTCCGGCCGAATTGGCGGAATATGGAGCGGCTGGGTAGGGAGCGGGGGTGTGGGAGGGTGGTGGGGGTGGTGCCGACTGGGTGGATGTATGAGATGAAGCGGGAAGGGTTTCCGGTGAGGAGGAAGAGTGTGGTAGTTGGGGGAGAGGAGCGGGGTGTGAGTGTGGAGGCAGAGGAGGGGGCGGTGGGTGTGGGGGGAGAGGAGGCGGGGTTGGATATGGGGGAAGTGGGCGTGGGCATGGGCACGGGAAAGGAGACGGGAGGGATGGAGGCGTTGGAAAAGGGTGTGAGCATGAGCAGCAGTGGTATGGTAGACGGGAGGGACATGGGCATGAGTGATGGGGGTAAGAGCATGCGGGAAGACCGCAGCAGCAGGGGCATGCGCATGGACCTGGAGATTCACCTGGTGCCATACAGTGAGCACTGCAGCTTCTCTGAGCTGCGCTCCTTCCTCTCGTTCCTGCGCCCCCACCGCATCATCCCCACTGTCAACACGGGTGAGACAGCACGCCCCGGTACAAATCAGCTGCATCATCTGAGAGGTTTGGTGGATGAGTCGGCATGTAAGCAGCGGTTTTTGGCTGGGTTTGGAAGGCGGAGAGAGGGGCGAGGAGGGGTGGTGGTGGGGGGAGAGAGTGAGGGAGAAGTGGAGAGAGGGGGTGGGGGTGTCGGAGGGGGAGAGGAAAGGGGGGGAGGAGGTGAGGGTTTGGGAGGGTGTATGGTTGAGTCAGGTTGGGAGGAGAGAGGAGAGGAAAAGATAGAAGGTGAGGGAGAGGAGGGCGGGGAGATGAGAGAGGAGAAAAAGGGGCAAGCAGAGGGGTTGTTCTCTTTGGAAAGAGGTGCTGGTGATGTGTGTGGTGAGGGGAAGGCGGAGAGAATGGAAGAAAGGGAGGGTGGAGGGGAAGTGTGCGGTGGTAAGGGTGGAGGGTGTGTGGAGGAATTGGACCAGGCGGGTCCTGCTGATGTGGCAACGTTGCACGACGATGTGGCGGTTTCTGACGGGCTACTACCAGCCGCGAAGCGGCGGCGGTTGGAGCCGTGTGGGGCTGGTAGCGACAGCAACGGTGATGTTACGACTTGCACAAGCACGAGGTCAGGCACAAAGACTGGGACAAGGCCAGGCGAGTCAACAACACCCTGCGCACCGGCGCCCAGTTTGACGCCTGGTAAGACACCCATTACAGGGCTCAGTGTAAGGCCTGACACAAGGCCAGGTGCAACGCCTGGCAGTCAGGCCAAACAAAGCACACGCATGAGAGGGTCGAGAGGAGGAGGGGGAGGTGGGGGAGGAGGGGCGCGTTCCAGGTCCCGGACAGAGGCAGGAAGGAAATCCGTGGGCAAGCAGCAGAGAGGAGGGGGTGCGGCGGTGGCGAGGGTAGGGGGCATGCAGCGAAGCATCAAGCACTTCTTTGGCTCCTCCTCAGCAGCAGCACCATCGTTACCGTGCTCAGTTGACACAGTGGGGCTGGAACGTGCAGCAGAGGAGTGCAGTGCGGTGCAGATGGTGACCAGCACGCCTCCTGCTGCTACCCAGCCTCTCACCACCGCTCAAGTTAATGGCTCCTCTGATCACCCCCCTTCGCCCGTTCGTCCTGCTGCTCCTGCGCGGCTGCGTGCGGAGGGGTGCAGTGCGGTGCAGAGGATGGTGGCGGTGGGGCTGCCGGGGCTGACGGCTGCAGTGGCGGTGAGGTTGCTGAAGGCGCATGGGGGGGATGTGGGGAGAGCCATGGATGCCTTTCTGATGCATGTGGAGGGCGCGGGGGGAGGGGCAGGGAGCAGGGGAGAGGGAGGAGCAGGGGGAGGAGCAGGGGTAGGAGTGGGAAGAGGAGAGGGGGAAGTGGGAGAGGGAGGAGAGGAAGTGGGAGGAGCGAGAGAAAGAGAAGCAAGAGAGGGAGAGGGAAGAGCAGGAGAGGGAGAGGGAAAGCGAGGAGAGGGAGAGGGGAAGGGAGGTGAGGGAGAGGGGGGGACAGGAGAGGGAGGAGAGGGAGAGAGAGGCGCGAGAGAGGGAGGAGAGGATGATAGGAAGTGTTTAGAGGAGGAGCGAGGGGGAGCTGAAGGGGTTGGAGAGAAGGCGCTAGGTGAAGTTTCTTGTGGGGTGGAAGGAAGACGAGGAGAAACGGAGGGGGAGCGGGTGGAAACGAGGAAAGGGGACAGGGTAGGCTTGGAGGCTACTGTAGTGACCAATGCAGCGGTGCTTGTGCAACCAGCAAGGTTGCAGGATGTTGAATGTGCAGCAGCCACAGCAGCAGCAGCAGCAGCAGCAGCAACTGAATCAGCAGCAGCAACCCCAGCAGGGTCAGCAGCAGCAGCGCCAGTGAAGTCAAGAGTGTCAACAGCAGCAGCAGCAGCAGCAGCAGTAGCAGCAGCAGCATCTAGTGGGAAGGGTACAGTACCACCTGTGGCGCTCGGTGTAGCAGCCTTTGATCCCGTCACACATGGTCCGTGGACTCTCATGTGTGCTGTGGGCTGTGGGCCGTGTCCTGTGTCCTGTGCGTGTATGCGCATGTGTGTTTGTGTTTGTATGCTCACATCACACAAACACAACAATCATATCATACGCACACCTCGATCCTCTTGGAATTCCATGCCAACACATACCATACCACATCATCACGTTGCCATGCCATGCCATGAAATGCCATGCCATCCCATGAAATGCCATGCCATGCCATGAATTGCCATGCCATCCCATGAAATGCCATGCGCATCCCATGAAATGCCATGCCATGCCATGAAATGCCATGCCATCCCATGAAATGCCATGCCATCCCATGAAATGCCATGCCATCCCATGAAATGCCATGTCATCCCATGAAATGCCATGCCATCCCATGAAATGCCATGCCATCCCATGAAATGCCATGCCATGCCATACGTCACACCTTTCCACACCACACCATGCGTCCGGTGCACAACAGCGGGGTGGGAGGAGGGAGCGGCAGCGCCCTACATGCATCTGGCAGTGGCGTTCGATGCAGTGGAGAGGGAGAGTGGGCGCATCAAGTCAAGCGACATTCTCACCAACACCTTCAGAAGGTACGTGCTCTGCCGTCCCTCTTACACATAACATTATCAGCGGATCCTGCATGCAGTCCAAATGAAAACTCTTTTGTTCGCAGGTGTGCATGCAGTCTGACAAAAGGTGTTGGTGAGTTGCGCAAGAGGTTGCTGCGACATTGACTATTGCCTGGACCGTGTGCCATTCATTCACACGAGCGTCATGAGCTATGCGGAGGTGCAAGTGCAACTGCTGTTCTCACTCCACTGTGCTTTGAGGCCGTCTCAAAGCCCCCGTCCAGCCTGCAACCCATGCTGTGCCGCGCAGCATTGAAATTCCTTGTTGGCAGCCTTGCATGCATTGCTTAATGCTGGCCCATCACGTCTATCAGCACCCTCATGCTCTCTCTCTGTTACCCTGCACCAGCCTCTTGGCACTCTCGCCCAATGACCTGCTGCCAGCCGTCTACCTCTGCACCAATCGCATCGCTCCCGACTTTGTCAATGCTGTGAGCCCACTCATCCTCTCATTCGCTCATTCTCTGCCCTGTAAGGATTACCCCAATGCTGCACTGCACACTGTGTTCCTTTGCGTGCATTCAATCAACCACCTATTTGTCCACTCCACAGGTCTGTGTCGCCAGCAGATACAGCCTGTTTTGAAGTGCTGCGATTGTGTGAATAGATTAGCGGAGCAAGGCAGGGGACTGCAAATGAAATCGCAGGGAGTGGGATAGTGCTGATGTGGCGTGCTGCAACGGACACACATGAACGGTTACGATACTCAGCTTAGAAGTTCAACTCAACTTAATATGTGGCGTGTGATCATGTTCCTTTTTCGAGTCAACTTCAAGTGGAATGTGAAGTGTGTTGCATGAGAGATGCACGTTCAATGAGCCGATTTTATATTCGACAAAATAATGAGTTTTTCTCTAACCACGTCCTCTCCCTGTCCCCCTGCCCCTCCTCTCCCCCAACAGGACCTGAACGTGGGAGGGGGTACTGTGGCTGGTGCCGTGTGTGAAGCAACAGGCATGAAGAGGCAGCAGCTGCGACTCATGTACACACGCATGGGCGACCTTGGTACATTCTTCTTTATTCTTTGGTTTTGTTGTTGTCATTTTCCTTACCACTACACATCACTTGTAGTGTCTCTTTTTCCCAGTGCCACCAACATCCCATCTCATCCCATTCACATTGCCATCCATTGTCCCAATCCTTCAACATCCCAAATGTGCACCATACCCACTCCCCTGCTTCCTCCTCCATCCCACCCAGGCGATGTGGCTCACGCATGCCGCTCCTCTCAGCGCTTGCTGCGCGCCCCCCAGCCCCTCACCATCCACCGCCTATTCCATGCTCTGCGCGCCCTCAGGTGAGCACCTCCTCTCCTCTCTCTTGCAGCCCGGGGACCGTTGTTCCTCCCTTCCTGCTGCATGTCTTTCACAAGCCTTTACTGTCACAATGTAAAAGTTAAGTAAAAAACAGAAAGTACAAACAAGATATATGAAAACCTAACCCTAGTGCAAGTACAAAAATAACACAAGGGAGAACACCTAGACTAGAACTACACAAGCTATAGAAATATAGTTTGACACACCCCCATAGTCTAGGTGACAATAGTCCTGTAGAAACAACATGAGCAAGCAACGGTCAAAGGACCAGTCCACAAGAACAAGACAAATCTCAGGGTGGAGCTCAAACTCACCACACACTCCGAGAACAAGCAAGGGGCCACAAGGCCAGTCCACATGCAGGTATATAGCAAATATATATAGATGCAAGAGTACAAGACATGCAGGACAATGCATCTCTACGTAAGCAAGTGAGGACGGGCAAGCACAAGGCCAAGCTGGGTGCAAAAACGCTGGTGGTCACAAGGCGGCAACGCCTTGGTGAAGATATCTGCAGTGTTGGCCTCAGAGACCACACGGACCACGCGGGCCTGACCACGCTGCTGCAACTCACGTAGAAAGAAATAACGAAGGTGGATGTGTTTCGCCTTCCCAACCAGTCGGGGCTCCTCACACAACAGGACAGCAGACCTGTTGTCGGCAAACAAGACTTGGGGAGAACGAGGCCGCTCACCAAGGTCGGTGAGAAGGAAAGACAGCCAGCGAAGCTCCTGAGCGGCCATGGCTGCGGCGTACACCTCGGCCTCACAGCTGGAACCGGCGACAGACGACGCCCGAGTCGACCGCCACGAAACAGCACCTGCCCCGAGGCTAAAGGAGTACCCCTGTGTAGACCGACGCGTCTCCGCGTCGTCGGCCCATGACGAGTCCGAGTAACCTGTAAGTGTAACTGGCTGCTTCCCTCCAAGGACAAGTCCCATGCCTGATGTACTCGCCACATACTTCGCCACCCTCTTAGCCGCATACCAGTGGGAAGGTCGGTGTCTCCCAGGCGCAACAAAGCGCGCAAGGACGCTAAGAGGGTAAGCTAGGTCTGGGCGAGTGCAGGTCATCAGGTACATGAGACAACCCACCAGCTCACGATATGGACCACTGGACTCAAATGACTCGTCCGAAGGTGGAGCCGTGAGCCCATGATCCACACCAAGAGGGGTGAGCTGTACCTTGGAGAACGGGAAGCGAAACCGCTTGAGGATCTGCTCGACCATATGCGACTGAGTCAGCGTAATGGTGCGAGTTGCCCTGTCCCTGGTGATCTGCAGGCCAAGGTAGTGCTGCAGCTCACCAAGGTCAGTGCAAGTGTGTCTCCTCAGCAGTTCCTCCTTCACGGAGGCCAGCGCGCGTCGGTCGGGAGTGGCGAACACCAGGTCGTCGACGTAGACCAGGACAAAGAACAGGGTCGAGCCACGGCGAACGAACAGTGACGGGTCAGCAGACGACGGAAAGAAGTCAAGAGCTGCAAGGGTCGAGCGAAGTGTGTTGTGCCACTCACGTGGAGCCTGACGCAGGCCGTAGACTGGTCGACGCAGCTGCCACTGGGTCCCAGGTGGGGAAGAGCCAGTGAAGCCAGGCGGGCGATGCAGCCAGATCTGCTCGTGCAGGCTCCCCTGAAGGAACGCGGTGGAAAATTCCAAGGAGTGCAACTCGTAGTCGCGCTAGGCTGCAATATGCAGCAACACCCGAAGGGTACTCATCTTCGGCGTGGGAGCGAAGGTCTGGAAGAAGTCCACCCCCTCTCGCTGTCTGAAGCCTCTCGCCACATAGCGCGCCTTGAACACATGTGGTGATCCAGACGGCCGCTTCACCTTGTAGAGCCATCGGCCACTGACGACGTTCGTCCCAGGTGGTGGGACTGCGTCGACATAAGTGCCTGTGGACCTATAAGATGCCATCTCTGCCTCCTCAGCTGCTATCCAGTACGAAGCCCAGGGTCCCGAGATCGCCTCGATGTGAGTGCGAGGGATCGGGATGTCAAGGGCGTCTGGATCCCCCTCAGGGGCAAGTAGCATGGCGCAGAGATGAGGAACAGCAGCCGCAAGGAAACCAAGCTCGAACTGCCTGTCCTCGAGGACCTCCAGGGGAAAGACAGGAGCACCCCCTGAGAACGGAGAACGAGCAGGGCCACTCACCACGTGAGCGGCGTAGTCAAGGCGGTGGGAAGAGGCAAAGCCAGCGACAGTGGTAACAAGAGCTGAGACAGACGACAGAGGTGCAGTCGGGTGAGTGACCAACGCGGACAAAACACGGGAGACGACAGGACGGGAAGCACGGAGGTAGTCGGACAACGGGTCGTGAAGCACAGTGAGGGACGACACAGGGGGCCGTGGAAGGACAGGAGGAGGTGGAACACGCGAGCGAAGAACAAGGTGGAACGGGCCGTCTGCACGGTAACGGGACCGACGACGCTCTGGGGACACAGCACGACTGAGGGGGGAACGACGAGTCCACTGGGACGAGGAAAGGGACTCAACATGGGGAACAGGTGGGGACGGTAGGGGACCACGAACAAAGCGTGCAGGTGCTGGGTCGGGGAGGTCCCGTAGTCGCAGTCGCTGCTGCTCCGCCTCCTCTGGCGTCTGTTGCGATGGTACCGGCCCCTGCTGCTGCTCCTGTGGCTCCGCCTCTGCCCTCTCTTGCTGCGACTGCAGCTGCACCCGTTGCTGCGACCGGGACTCCTGCGCTACCCTCTCCTGCTGCGGCCGTGAATCCTCCTCTACTCTCTCCTGCTGGGTCTGTAACTGCACCTGTTGCTGCGGGTGGGACTCCTGCTCTACCCTCTCCTGGTGAAGCCGGAATTGCTCCTCTACTCTCTCCTGCTGTGTCTGTAACTACACCTGCTGCTGCGGGCGGGACTCCTGCTCTACCCTCTCCTGGTGCGGCCGTGACTCCTCCTCTACACTCTCCTGCTTCGGCTGTGACTCCCCCTCTACTCTCTCCTGCTGCTGCTGCTGCTACTGCTGCTGTGCCCTCTCAAACCGCTCACGCTCCTCCCTCTCACACCGAAGGAGACGCTGCTCACGGGTCAGGAAACGTACAGGGCACGGTGTAGGTGCCACAGTGCTAGTGCCTCCAGCTCCAGCACCCCCAAAACCAGCACCTCCAACACCGACACCCCCGGGGCCTCCAGTACCTCCCGCAGGAACACCCCCAGGCTCCGCAGCAACCGGCGGCAGAGAAGGACGAGGAGGAAACTGCGGGACGGACGGGAAGCCAGGGGGTGAGGCGGGGCGAGGCCGCCGACTCGAGGCTGCCGTGTCCTCCACAGGAGTGACCTCCACGCCCACAACCCCTGCACCCCCAGGACCGACACCACCAGCTCCTGCAGCCCCAGTACCCTCACCCTCCGCAACTGCACCTCCCGCACCCCCAGACACGACAGGGACTGGACGCTGCGGGGGGGACGACTGAGGAGTGACGTGCGACACACCTGACGGGGCAGGGCGCAAAGGGGGTGGAGCTACCGGGGCGACTGGGGGAGGCTCAAGGGTGAGGAACAACGGGGGGGAAAAGACCTCGGTACCTCGGTGGGGGCGACTTCTGTAGTAACAGACAGACTCGTCGAACGTGACGTCCTGAGAAGCGAAGAAACCGCAGGTGACCGGGTCGTAGAACACCCAGCCGGAGGCGTCCAAAGGGAAGCCAAGAAAGATCAAGGCACGAGTGCGCGGAGACAACTTGTTCGCGCCAGGGGCGCAAACGTGAGCCAGACAACCCCAGACACGGAAGTCAGCTGCTACACCCTGTAAACCTGACCAGAGAGAGACCGGCGTCACCCGTGGCCGTGCGTCACTGGGCCACAGGTTCAGCTGGTGCGCGGCGTAGCGGACCGCCTGAGGCCGCAAGAACTGAGGGGCACCGGCATGGCACATGGAGGTCCGGACAACCTCCATGACTAGGCCGATGCGACGCTCGGCTACCCCGTTCTGCTGCGGCGAGGCTGGTAGCGTGTACGACTGAATGACTCCCCGACCCTGACAGAACGTCTCCAAACGAGTGGAAGGAAACTCACCACCACGTTCAGAGTGTAGGCGAAGCCCACACAGACCCTGGGCACCACCCCACGCTAGTAGCCACGGCTCGAGGACGGTAGGCACGTCGGCCTTCCGTCGCAAGGGGAAAACCGTGGTGTAGCGGGAGTAGTCGTCCACCACAATCAGAAAGTAGCGCTCCTGACGTGGTCCAAGGACCGGGGAGGGGCCCCTGACGTCCAAGTGCAGGGTCTGGAAGGGAGCCGTGGTGGGGGGGAACGAGGAGGAGTGAGGGGCAGCGCGATGTCGACCCTCGACGCAAGGAGTGCACAGCCGCGCAGGCGAGCGAGGAAGCGGGGCAAGCGACTCCGGGAGACCTGAGACCAGACGGTAACGTGCCATCCTACTGAGACGTGGGAACGACGGGTGACCTGGACGGTGGTGCCAAAGGACAGACGGGTGGGTGAGGGAGCGACAGTCGCACGACACAACAGCTATCTGACCTGACCTGACCTGACCTGGTCTGACCCAGTGCGGTGGGACCCAGTGTGTAGTGAGTACAGACCAGAGCCCGGCTCTCTGTGAAAAGTGGCCAGAGGGGCCCCAGTGGTACCGACTGTGCAGGAGGCAGCAGGCTCGTCCAGTAGGAAAGTGGTGACTACACCTAGGTCGTGGAGGTGACTGACACCCACCAGGTTCCTAGAGAACGAGGGGGTGTAGTAACCTGTAAGAAAACCTGAGGGAGCCGCCGGACACGGAAGAGTGGTGGTGCTGCGGGCAACTAAACGTCCCACAGAGGGGTCAGCCAAGGCGACAGTGACTGGAGTGCGCAGTGGCGTGAGGTCAGTACAGTCGCGAAAGAAACAGCTAGACGCTCCAGATTCTAGGGTGAAGGAAAGTTGTGCAGTCTGTGGGGTCGCACCCGAACCAGCTACAAAGGCTAGTGCTAGACTAGTGGTAGTTGCAGCTCCTACACAAAGACCCTCAGAGGCGCAT